CTCCCTGAAGTTTAGCCTTGCTTGTAAAAGGTGCATTCTGTAGCACCAGTGCAAACAGTGAAGGAATCAACGACTGCAGGGCAGACAGATACATGTGGAGCTTATGTTCATCCAAGCCATGTTCTCCTTCCTGAAACAAAAAGGACATTAATTTGGAGGTTTTCAGTTTGGATGATCTGTTCCTTAGTAAATTATAGTATATGTGTGTATACATATACATATATATATATATAAAAAATAGTATTCCCTGGCAAGGCATCAACACATCTGTGATGAGCTTCTACCAGACACTAATTATAAAGCAATTTAGCCTACTCATAAGCACATTTTGTCACTGTTAAAACATCTCTACTCAACAGATTCAGGCAATGCAGCCTTTGACATTTAGCAGTTCATGCTGATGAACAGACTGATATTTTGAAAGAACATTTTTCAGCACATTTTGGAAATGTGGATCCTTGGTCTCAGAGACCAGGGCATCTAAACAGAATAAACAAGTCACCTGTACTCTGAAAGCAAGCATCTTCTTTCAGTGTGTTAGATAGTTATGAGGCATCCAATTTTCCAGAACTTTTGAGACATCTATCAAATGAAATGTGCAAACTGAATCATAACTGGAAATTACCCTAACTTAATCATTCAAATCTACTTTTCTTGCTTGTTTAATAAAAACTGCAGTTTACCAAAATCTACACAATTTAAACACGAAGCAAATGCTACTGGGCTATAAAACAAAACAGTATTCAAGAAGAGTATGTTAAGTTGGGGGAGGTTTGGTGTTTTTTCTTGTTTTTTTTTTTCTTCTTCCAAATTACAAATAAAGAACACAATGAAAATTCTCCAATGTAGAAACAGCTGAGTACATACCCTGAGCAATTTTTCAATTTTATTAAGCAGTGTAGGTATAAGATGGAACTGTAAATTTCCCAATTCTATTGTCCAGGCAGCGTAAGCAGGTAAAAATACCTGATGAGTTGCACTAACCACACGTTCTGAAGGGTCTCCTAAAGCAGAAAGCAGCAGCTCAAAACCCTGGTAAAAGATGGTAAAGAATGCAGTTATTTCCCAAAAGTTGATATACACATTTTATCACTCTGCCTTCAAAAACTCAACAAGAAAAGTTCTTTATTTTCCCTTTTCTGAAACAGTAGTATGAAAAAGTATTGGGCAGCATTAAGCTGAACTACACGTAGGCTTTGTTGTAGCAAACAAATCTGTGTTTGTAAGTGATGATATCAAGCTGGCTAACAGTATCAGATGGGCAGTGAAGTGGTATGTTCTTAAAGGCAAATTATGAACTATTAGAGCAGCTTCTGTATAAGGCTTACACGTGAAATCCTAACGCTCTTTGTAGTTTTTCTGTTTTGTCTTGGTGATAAAGTAAAATCAACATTCATTCAAATTTTTTTAAAGTATCTGGAAATAATTAATAAAAATGCAGGAATTTAAACAACCCCCTATCATTATATTATTATTATTATGCATATTATTATACATAATATACATATTATGTATATTATTATACATATATATACATATATAACCCCCTGTCATGAAATATCTATAGGAAGCATTTTATACATACAGAACCCAATTATACCAAATTATACCTGCTGATATTTATCTGGATCATCAATATAGCCCATAATGATGCCAAGGCTTTTGATCACAGCTTCTCGTACCAGATCTGCCTTATCTTCCATCAGCATTTGTTGCAGCATGGAAAGTACTAATGAACTACGAATTTCTTTCTGTTTATAAATGAGAAACATATTTAATCAAATGAAACAAGAAATGTGAGTTTGTATCAACTACAAATCAAACTATTATAAAAAGTTTCTACTTCTATTAGTGCTCACAAACAAAATCCCTTCCTCCAACCATAAATCCCTTTATGAATATTACATGTTCAGTTTTCATAACAGAAGGTGAATGAATATAAAATATCAGTAGCTTCATTAGAGAGACTTTTGTCCTACTAAGCACAGAACTAAGGGCCTTTCATTTGCATGGAACCAAAAATAACTAACAGCAGTAAAACTACTATAGGCCTGGACTTAAAACTAATTAATCACTGCATTGCTAAACGAGAAATTGCATTTTAATTCGGGTTCCCTCCCTCTGCCCTTTCTCTGAAGCTTCAAATTGTAGTGGTTCTTCCAACTGGCAGCACTCTTGATGTAACATTCCACATCATCTGAAGAACACTACAGTTGGTTGACTCTTCTTTTTTCATAGATTGTTTCCTTAATTGGTCCTAATTACATTTTCTTCACCTCATTTTTACTGAAATGAGTATTCATAGTTTATAGAAACATTTTATAGCTAGATTATCCTGTATTTCGTCATAACAAACTATCTCCTTCTTAAAGTGACTTAGTGAATCTCATGTGTGATATAAAGTAGAAGACAATGTGACTGTCTATGCATAACATACACATGTTTAAATGTGGTAATGTTTAAAATGATAAAGGATGCTTACATTTATGCATCAGATTTTTACCTTGCTTTCCCTAGCAGGTATTTGGCGTCTATTAATACTTACTGGAAGGTAAGGTGCTAGAGCTCCACAGGATTCTGCTACCAGGAGCCGTCGCTCTGGGTATTTGTGGTTGATCTGGTAAAAAGAAACAGATGGACTATTTGCTTTGCAGTACCCAGCACTCAAAATATGGTTAAAATAAATTGCAATGAAGGGATGTGTCTGCACCTCTTCAATAATCACTGATTGAGCTCAAAGAAATTGCACCTGGGTACTAAGCAGCCTCAAATTCTTGCACAGAGGCATA